CAAGGTTCCGTTGAGCCACGCCAGGTATCCAAGTAGGTAGTGCCACTTACACTTGGACTAGAAGCATCAATCATTTGATCTCCTGGGGAAATTAAAGCCAGCTCTTGAACACTTCACTAAGCTACCCCGTTTGTTAGTCTGTATTCACTCTAGCTTTGGACTCCTTAGTGGATATATCATCACCCAACATGTGGGCATAATCATCTTGGGTCACACTAGCCTTTTCTAGCCAAACTAGCTCCACTGAGGTCCAACCCCCACACTCTCCCTACTATACTTTTGGAACCCTCTATAGCACCCCCGGGCGATCGCTTTAGGCTTTCACCTAACAGCCTGTATTAGTATTCAGATTCAGACTTGAACTCAAACTCAAACTCAAACTCGGTCTAGGTCTTGGTCTCGATCTCAGTTTCATCTTGGACTACATTTCGGGTCCATCTCAGATTCCATCTGGGACTCCATCTCAGACTCCATCTCAGATTCCATCTCGGACTCCATCTCAGACTCCACCTTGGGTCTACCTCGAACTCTATCTCGAACTCTATCTCGGACTCCATCTCGGACTCCATCTCGAACTCTATCTTGGACTCCATCTCAGATTTCATCTCAGACTCCACCTCGGATTCATCTCGGACTCCATCTCTGGTCCATCTCAGATTCCATCTTGGGTCCATCTCAGACTCGATCTCAGGTACATCTTGGACTCCATCTCAACACTTCTACGTGTCATGTGTTGATCCTCTTGTGTCCCTTTTTCTAGAAACTCACTTATTGCGTGTTTCATGTTTGTTCCTCAAGCACTTCGTTGAGAGTTCTACTCCCACTCTCACCTTTTGAAGTTGGATTTTTTAGTCTTGTTTGGCTTCTTCCACGTTTAGGGCTCTGGGATTTCTGTCTCACACTAGCATGGTGTGGAATTTGAGCTTAGACCAAAGCCAAACACAAAAAAAAAAACAAGCACGCAAGCAGGACCTAGACTATGCCTCAGGTTGATCGTCCATGCCCAACCTACCCACTATCGCTATTATACATTTGGAACCCCCTACAACCCCTACAACCCCTCTAGGATTAACTTGAAACTTATTAAATATGGAATGACACTAGATTATGAATTTAGATATGGGACAAACACCATTGTGTTCAAGACAATCTCTACATTCTGTAAATATACTAAACTAACAAATCTAAACACTTTCCATAAATAGTAATTAGGATCAAATGGAACTAACATAAAGTGTATGATAGTAAAGATGTTTAACAGACACAGTAAGCTATCATTTAGCAAATATTAAGGGACAAAACTTAATATTACAGAGGTTCCCAATACTAACAAGTGCAAGCCAACATATGAGTTTCTCCTACCAGGCCGAGTATGCTTAGCAAGAAACACATAGGAGTTCCTACCTTATATTTATCTGGCATAAGTATATATATGATAACCAATTTCTCAACTAACTTGGGTGTAGTGATAAAGGGTCTAACAATACTGACTTTCTGCCATCGTGGCAGTAAAAAAAGAATAACCGAAAAGACTAGCTAACAAATAATTTTCAATACCTACAATCATATTCGCGACACAAATGCTTCCCTATATTATCTCTTATTTGCTCTACAAGTTTTTATATAAGGATCTCAAGGTATTCAAGGAGTATTTTACTCTTAACCTCACACTCTAACACACATAATGTGGTGTAGCTCTTCAGATTATAATGGTTATTTAATATCTCTTTAGTATGTGTATCTTACAAAGGTGTAGAGTTTCATTAGTATTTCACCATGTAAATGTATGTAACCAAAGAGAAGAACTTGAAAGGTATTCTATTAGAGTTCAAATATATAGGGAAATAACATATAAATAGAAGAGCACCCCTTTTTCTAATTAGTTAAGGGTCTTGAAATATATAAAGTTAAACTTACTATAGATCTAAATAGTACTAGGATAGGTGACCTTTTGAAAAGTCTAAATTCAGAGGTTTACATTAAACTTTTATATGGTTATGATTTTATATTATCAATAGAGTTGAGCTTCTCTTTGCTATAACTATTGATGCTAGGTCTTGGGATTAGTATTTGACAAGAATTCTAAACACTTGGGCCACTTATAAATAATATAACAATGCTGCTACAATGTTTGTCATTATCTATAAAATACACAATAAATGACTGTTATGGTCCATTTCATTGAGCAAGGCATCTCTTGGAAAAACTACATATCATTAGCTTGGGATAAAGTGTTGCAAATCAATCCTCCAAAAATTATGTATATACAGTGACTAAAGCATTTTGTAAAAAGGGATTATAATAAATTGTACTGTCTACAAATTTATCAATGTCTCCTCTTGATGTTCCTCTAGATCTTAGCCCATCAACAAAATCCATTAATCTTAACCTTTCGACAAAAGAACCTTAATTACCTTTTGTCCTTTCAAGAAAATGTAAATTCTTGAATTTGGACTTTCTAGTAAATTTATGGCTTATAGAGAAGGGCATGATATGTAGTTCAAGTGTATGGCTAAAATGTTGTATACTATTATTACTATTTTGAAAACTTAGATTTAATCTGGGCCATTGTATTCCAAAATCTCACCTTCGAAAAGTTTTGGATTATACTAGACACTAAGGAATTTACTCTCAACAACTTGCTATTTGTGGTCATACAAGCCTTATTCCTCCACCAATTAAAGGTGCATACACCCCCCCCCCCCCCCCCCCCCAAGTGCTACATACCTTTTCCATATGGTACAATAAGTTCTATAACCAAATTCCAGGAATAATTTCAATCTGCATCAAATCCCTTTTAGTTCAAGGTAGTGGATGAGAGTTACATCTATCTCATCTATGCTTAATCTCATTTTTATTTATCTCAATTAGAGGTATTCAAATACGCAAATGTTTCCTTGACAAGTTAAAATCCCCCTTCTAGGATTTTTACAGGAGCATCCAGCTACGAAATCTTTCAATTACTATGACAAACCAAAAACTCGCAATGGTTTGAATATGGTCCCTTTCATCAGGTTAATATTAAGCAAGCATTTGAAACTCAACAGGTGGCATACATGTCTCTAGCTCAAACACACTCAGAAATGATAGGTTTGACCCAGCCCAGCTCCTCATTTTCGGTGCCAAGCTAATCCTGGCTTCTTTTAATGAATATTTTAATGCTTACAATGTAATCTAATGGATATTCTTATGAATATTCTAATGCTCTATTATTTAGGGTTCTTGGGCGCCATCAAGCATGCCGATTGATGGCACTGGGCCTCTCGTGGATTTTTTGTGCCACAAGAGCTTGGCGAGGCCTTAGATGACACATTACTTGAGATCTGGATGCCAAGCAAAACATAAAGATGACGAAAGTAAGTGTTTTTTGGTATAGAATTCACTCCCAGCGCTTGCTTGGGCAGCTGCAGAAGATATGGTGTTTCAGTCTGTAGCTTATGCCAGCTCTAGAGGTTGCGAGCAACGCAAATGCTAAAACAACACAGCAATAACAGTCTGCTTCGAGCAGTAAGAGCCAGAGTCAGAATATTGCCTATTGCTACCTTCTAGATGTAAGTCTGGGCTTGAACTTTATGTGGTTTTTCATGTGCAGGGCAGTTTGTCAGCTGTGGACTAAGGGAAAGCTAGTACTAGATGTGACAAAGAGTTTTCATGCCAAAAGTGGTGTGGATGAATATGTAATTAAATATGAGACCCATTTTTAGAATTAGGGTCTGCAACCGTTTTAAAAGGAAAAAACCATATTTTCGTGTGTGAGAGTCCGGGGGGTTCCTTGTTCTTTACTTTTACATGCACTGTAAGTCGGACAAAGTATGTAGCTTGGCCACCAAGGAAAGCTTTCCCAATCTTCTCAATCTAATGTAGGTGAAATTTGACGAGCAAGGAAAGGCGCCATCCGGAAGAGAGACTGCACTGTAGTGGAAGGTGGCTCGGGCGATATGCGTAATGAGCCAGACACGAGAATTCGGCGTCGGACACGATCTCGCTTGTTTGACGATGAACGAACTATGATGCTCATTAGGTACGAGCCCGTCAACGATCCATTAAGGTCGTGCCAGAGCGAGACGGTGATGCATCCGGCTCACTGGAAACGTATGCCTTTGTTTTTTTTTTTTGATAAAAATGCCCTAAAAGTGCCCTAGCGAAGGCATGGCAGTGGGCTTCAAGCGCCCGATCGTCACATTCAACAGATGGAAGATTTTGCGAGGCGACAAGGTAGAGTCGAGGCCGCGCGCGTTTTCTTACCCCTCCTCCCTGCATTTCAGGTGAAGATCATCACTGGAAATGATAAAGGCCTGACTGGGACGGTTAAGGAGGTTTTCCGGAAGAGAAACAAAGTGATTGTGGAGGGCAGGAATCTGGTAAGTAGGCCTACACACTTGCGCTCATCCTTTGGCTGGATCCAGGTGAAGCGGCATGTCAAGCGCACCGTAGACAATCTGACCGGCGTTGTGACCAAGGAGTCTCCGATCCACGTTTCCAACGTCATGCTTGTGGATCCAGTTAGCGGGTGCAGTTGGCTATCTCACTCACTTCTCGTTTGACGCTCTTTGTTTGCAGGGGTCGAGTGAGAAGCAAGTGTGGCTTCCTGCAGGACGGGAGCAAAGTGAGGATATCCGTTGGCACGCTTGCGACAGGGAGCGCCATACCCAGGCCTGCCTGCCTAGCGTTCAAAAAAGTTCGTCTGGATGGTAAAGGCTCTGTTCTTGTGTTCTTGCTCGTTTCATGTTCATTACCTTGCCCCGCAGGTGGCCCCAAGAATACACTCAAGGACGACGTGTTGGAGAGGACCTACGATCCTGCCATAGGCCTGGGCATCCATCCGTCCCGCAACTTCTTCTGGATGTACGAGCCAGTGTATCCAGTGCTACCACGCTTCCCACCCAGCGAAGCCAGAGGGCCTCGAGCTTATGACTACTACAGGAACCTCAACCAGGCTCCCAACAGGCTGCCCTACACTCCGTCAAAACGAGAGCAACGGGCTGCCAGGCTCAAGGAGAAGCAGGAAGTGATAGCTGCTATTGCTGCTCAGCAGAAACAGAAGGAGCAGGCATCATGAAGAGCCATAGCTGTTTTTCACGAAACACCAAAGTCACTTCTCCACTGCAATAACCTGAGTTGGTCCCGCTGCTGAAACTGCCGAAAGGGCCGAACCTGTCAAAGCTAATGATCCTCGCACAAAGTCAGTCGCTTTTTTCGCTCCTTGCCACAAGCACCACCAGAACAAGATCCAAGCTGCAAGACAGTGCATTTAGTTGCTTTGTGACAAGGACTGCCTCACCTGTAACTAGGATGGCTGCACCGATTGTGCAGAGAGCAATGCAGGAGATTGCCACGGCAGCTGTTACAAGTGCACCGATGTAGACGGCCGTGAGCATCATGAAGAAGAGCGCCACGAAAGCTCCTATTCCAGTGACGGACATCAGGAATCCTATGGCGACAGCGTTGGCTGTGGCAGTGACAAGAAACAGGATGAACGTAGCGAGCGCTGCCAGAGAAACAAACACCACGATGCCAAGCTGCAACACCCAAGAAACAGCGAAGAATGTCGGGGAGGAGGGAGTAACACGCTATATAGCTTACGGTGCTGACGAGAAACGCTCGCCATGGTCCTCCCCGGTGCATCCACCGCATGATATCAGCTGAAGCAGACCTGGCAGCAAGCCTGAACCGGGGTGCCCTGCGGGTGAAGGCCTCCCTCGTCCTGCGCACCACGGACCGCTCCTGCTTGGCATCGCCATCAATCACCTCCGCAGCCGCCTCGCGCAGCAAATCCACCAAGGTGGTGCCTTGGGCAGCCGTGGGTTCCATGAGCCGAGTGTGCCGCGCAGCAAACAGGCCGCTCCCTCTCGCCCTGCCCTTGAAAAACCACTTTAAACTGGGGAGGTGCCACTTGTCCGACGGGCGTCAAGGTAGGCGGTGGTGAGGGTGGAGTAGTTGACAAGCGTCGTGGAGCTGGAGCGGACGTAGGCGTCGCAGAATGCATGGAAGCGGCCGCGCCCAAAGGCCTGGAACACGAGCGGATCGGTCCGCACGTCCGGGATGGTGTCGGCCATGTCCAGCTCGTCCAGCTGCTCGGGGAGCCTGGGCAGCAAGCGGGCGATGGCGTAGGCGTCCACCAGCGCGCCGTAGGTGACCAGGTCGGGCCGCACCGACTCGGCCCTCATGTGCTGCACCAGCACGTGAAGGTCCCAAAGCATTTGCATCCGCGACAGCGCCAGCGCCCGGATGTTGAAGGTGGTGACGTCGGGCGCGCACCTCGCCGACCACATGTTGACCGCCTCCCTCTGGAGGCTCTTCATGGAGAAGTTTGCGGCATGCGCGAGCAGCAGCAAGTTCCACAGTAAGTTGCCACCGATCCTCTTCATGCCCAGGGACTTGACGAAGCCTTCCATCTGGTAGAACTGGTCGTGGCGGATGTAAGCCAGTGCACAGGCGCGCACACTCTCCTCCCGTGGCCACCCCTTGATCCGCCTCAGCTCGCCCTGGGCGCCTTCCATCTCCTTGATCATTCCCATGGACGCGTAGCCTTGCGCAAGCAGGTTGAGAATGTCCGAGTCTGGAATCCAGCCGTCTGCTCGCATGGCCTTGAATGCCTTGTCCATGCGCCCCACCAGGCCGCCGCTCGCGTACGCCTCGATGACGTTCTTGTACACGAAGAAGTCAGGCTCACACCGCACCGTCTTCATGGTGTTCACCACCTTGGCCATGTCGTCAAACAGGCCCCTCTTGCCATAGGCACGGATGAGGCCACCGTAGGTGACCACGTTGGGCTGGATGCCTGTATCCAGCATCCGCCTCATGGCCGACTGGGCGCCCTCCACGTCGCCGCTCTCGGCGTAGCTCTGCGCCAAAGCACTGAAGCCCACCACGGATGGCCTCACCTGCATCGCCTCCATGCCGTCGAACACGCCCTGTGCCGCATGTGGCTGCCCCGCCTTGCTGGCCATCACCATGAAGCGCACAAAGTGCTCCTCCCGCGCCCGGTATCCTGGCTGCTGCTTCCACCACTCAAATGCCTTGACACACCCAGCGTCACAAGGGGAGCTCGCGCAAACAGAGACCAACCAACCTGCAGTGCCTCGTCCAGGCGCTTGCCCTTGTTGAGGGAGGCCACGTAATCCCAGAAGTCGCCCGGCCGCCATGATGTCTGCCTGGCCTTTGCTTCCACAATGTCGAGGCGGCTCCTCCGGTGCCTCCCACCGGACGCGCCAGCGGCGAGGGCGTGGTACGCTGGCGCCGCCCACCACGCGCACGCCGCCATCGCCTACCTCTTTCCAATGATGATGTTAGAAAGGCAGACTTTAAATTACTGTGGTATATAAGCTTATCACTTGGTTCAAAACATGCTGCTACAAACCCCCCTCTCACAACCATAACACGGCGTTGGTCATTAGATGAGGTCCGCAACGTTATTTGGCAGCTCCTCAATGACAGTGTTGTAAAACTTCTGGATGTCATGAAGCATCCTCTCGTCCTCTCTCACCATAAAGTTGATGGCCACGCCCTTCCGCCCAAACCGACCGCTGCGACCAATTCGATGCAGATAATTCTCCGGCTGCGTCGGAAGGTCGTAGTTGATCACCAGCGACACCTGCTGGACGTCGATGCCGCGCGCGAGCAAGTCGGTGGTGATGAGCACGCGGGACGAGCCCGACCGGAACTCGCGCATGATGATGTCGCGGGTGTTCTGGTCCATGTCGCCGTGCGTCGCAGACACGGTGTGGTCGCGGCTCCTCATCTTGTCGGTGAGCCAGTCCACCTTGCGCCGGGTGTTGCAAAAGATGACGCTCTGCGTGATGGCCAGCGTCTCGTACAGGTCGCACAGCGTGTCCAGTTTCCAGTCCTCTCGTTCCACGTTCACGTAAAACTGCTTGATACCCTCCAGCGTCAGCTCGTCTCGCTTGACGAGAATGCGCACCGGCTTGTTCATGAACTTGCGGGTGATCTCCAGCGCCTCGGGCGGCATTGTGGCGGAGAAGAGGCCCACCTGGACCTTGGAGGGAAGGAGCTGGAAGATGTCGTAAATCTGCGACACACAAGGCACAGGCAGGGTGGTTATATAGACCAGCTTTCCTTCCACCTTACCTGGTCCTTGAAACCGCGGGACAGCATCTCGTCCGCCTCGTCCAGGACAAACATCTTGATGTAGTCCGGCCGCAGCGCGCGACGCCTGAGCATATCGTAGACGCGACCAGGAGTGCCTACCACCACATGGACGCCGGCCTGCAGGATTCTCTGGTCCTGGCGGACGTCGGTGCCGCCGACGCAGGCGTGCACCTTCACCTGCAGGTAGTCACCCAGCGCCCGCATCACCTTCTCGATCTGCTGCGCCAGCTCCCTGGTGGGCGCCAGCACCAGCGCCTGGCACTCGACATTGTTGTAGTCGAGCTGCTGCAGGATGCCGGAGCAAAACGTGGCCGTCTTGCCGGTGCCGGACTGGGCCTGCTGGATCACGTCAATCCCCTTGCAAAACGGCACGATTCCCCTCTGCTGGATGGTAGAGGGCTTTTCAAAGCCTGCAAGCACAGTCACATCCACGCCCATTGGGGATACGAGGCGGCTCACCGTAGGCGTAGATCCCTCGCAGCAGATTCTCGTGCAAGCCCATGGAGTCGAATGTCTCGTTCACCTCGTCCCAGCTCGATATCACATCGTCTCCTTCCAACCTGTGCCACAGAGGGAGTCAGGCGCACGCAAACAAAGCACACCGCGCTTACGCAAACTCCATCTTCTGGTCATACTGCCGGGGATCGAATTGAGAGGTCTCGGGTGCCAAGCCAGCCATTATCTGCAATACCTGCAGTCAAAGAAAAGAGAGACGCGAGGATAGAAACCCTGATGGATCCTAGCACTGCGGCATTGGGGATGCCCTAAAACCCTAGCCTCCACATACCTCCTGGAAGCGAAGATCGAATTTGGTGACTTGAGCAGAGCCCAAGTACAAAGATAGGGCAAACCCCCATAGCCATGCCCACGCCTCCTTTTTATACATGCGGGGAGTCTTACGTGGCGTCCCATTCTCATCAAATCCGAGCACGAGACCGAGCTCCCGTGCCCCGCTCGCCCACCGGCAGCTGCAGCTCCTCCCCTTCCCCGTCGCCCAGCGCCGCAAAATAGCCCTCCACCACCTCGCGCGACACGCCCTCGAGCTTGCTGGGATCCCACTGCACGCACACACACACACACCGTCAAAACCACGGCTACTGGTCGTGCATGCAAACTGCTTACCCGCGGCCGGTTGTCCTTGTCTATCAGGATCGCCCGGCACCCCTGCACAATCTCAAAACCGGTCTCAATCCAATGGAGACATGCCAAGAAGCATCACCTCGTAAAAGTCTCCCGAGTACTTTGCCGACACCGCACGGAAGCTCATGCGGTACTCCCTTGCCAGGCACTCGGCGAGGGACTCCTGCCTGCCTCTACGAATCTGAAGCACAAGACAACCTTTGGGTGAGTGTGTGAGCAGTGATTACAACATACCGATGCCAGGGTGATCTTGAGGCTCGTCGGAGATGCTCCCTTGAGCTTGCTCGTGGCCTTGTCCAGCCACTCATCGTCGCCGTCACCCCGCTCCCTTTCCTTCAGGCAGCATTTCAGCTCATGTTACACAAAACCAAACCTTGTGCCCCTACCAATGCATGTAGAATGCCTTCCACCGTGTCTCCCGAGAAGCAAGCATTGATCACCTGCAGCCTACCACCCGTGCTCATTTAGTGATCACTCTAGGAACTTGACGACAAGTGCAAACCTGTGCAAGCAGCTCTTTCCCTGCACCGGCGGCCTGCCCGAGAATTTCCCGAGTGTTTCTTCCACGCTCTCTGGCGAGGAGACACTGCGCAGCTCGCTTTCTAGAGATGCTAGCCGCTGCAACAAACGCCAGGGTATTAGAGAGCGAGCACAACCGAAAAATAAAAAGCTCACCTCCGACGGCACATAATGTGTTGCGAGCCCAATGTTGAGCATGTCAGCTCCATCAAGACGCTCGCCCGTCAACCCCAGATACTCCCCTTTGACTCGGCAACTCTATCAAACAAGCTTTTGAAGTCGATGGATACAACTCACCCAAATGCCCATCCAAACGAGACAGAAAATACGATGCTCCAACGTCGGGATGCAGTCCGAGGGCAGTCTCCGGCATAGCAAACAGCTGCAAACTGGATCAGATGTGGCTCCCATCGTCTGTGCCAGACAGCTACTTACAGTTTTCTCTGTGGCAACGCGATACTTGCCATGAACGGAGACGCCATTCCCGCCACCCATGACGACCCCGTTGAGAAAGGCCACCTATACAATGACAGACTTGTCAAAAAGCGAGCTGCGCACTCACCACAACGTCAGGCTTGTTGTTCCTTACATGCGGTTTCTTGAATGTCGCAAGGTAATAGTTGAGCACGTATTCCTTGTAAAAGAATCCACTGGCCTGGTGTTGGCGACCTGTAGAAGTGAGCACCATGAGATTGTCATGAAAGCGAGGGAGACGTAGGTTACCCTGACGACCAAGTTCACAAACACTTGCAACATCACCGCCAGCGCAGAAAGCCCTCCCATTGCCCTGCACAAGAAATTTAGACTAGCGGTGGTGAACAAGACAAGCTCTCGAGCTCAACCTTCAGGATGACTGCGACAACGTTGCTGTCGGTTTCCCACCTCTGGTAGAGCTCTTGAAGGCGGACGATCTGCACACAGTTGGCCACTGACGTGAGTGTGTTGAAGATGAGTAAGCCCACCATGTTCTCATTCAACGAGTTGAGCTTGTTGGGCCTGTTGAGCAGCCCGACTGCCACGCTCCCTGATTGCTCGCCCAGCACCTGCAGTCAAGGAAATTTCAGAATTCCACCACCTTGATTGGATCACCTCGCTTGCATCGGCCGCGCTGGAGGACGGCATTCGCCCCTTGAACATGCTCCTAGGCGCAAGACGCCTCAACATCTAGAGCCCTAAAGCCGTGCTGACCAGTCAACCAAGGCCCGTCGTAGACCAAGTCAGCGGTTTCATTTCTTTTTTCTTTCCTCATGTTACCTAGCCTCGGGAGGAGCGAGCATGAGCGATCGAGCAAGTGTGGCGTGATTGCGATTGAGGTGCAAATAAGCCTAGCATAATAGCATTGTTGCAGCGCCGCCTTGGGCTCGGGAGTTTGGTTGTTTCTCTGTGGGGCACCACACCCAACAACACATGCCAAGGTAATCTCCCTCCAGCAACCCGATTGGATTGGAGTGCTCTAAGATATTCCTGTCAATGATTGCCCAATCTTGGAAGGCGAGTTTTCAATTCCCGGCCAGGATAGAAAATTTGGTTTGGACCATGGCTTGAATGGACACGCCAACTGGGGTAAGCAAGCCATGAGGGACAAGAGCGGCAGCGCCTAAACAAACAAGGCGGATCCTTTGGCGATCTTGGCAGGAGTGTTGTCAAGTTGGCCAACGCATTGAAAAACTTGACCATGACCAACAAAAGGAGGTCGACGGAACTCTTGAAACGTGATCCATTGCCACAGGGTTTAACATGGAAGCCCAGGAGCCTCGGAGATAATTTTAAGTGGGAGTTTCTAAAACACCACTTTTCCCAGGATGAACGCATACTTTTCCCTGCGTTGTGCTATCCTTGCAAGCAAAGCTACATGATCACTTGACTGCCATGTTATAGTGATCCAGACGCCGTTACCCTGCGATTATAAATACCAGTCAAGGCTTGAGCCGGGTCTTTGTGATCGAGCGAGTATATGCTTGTAGCTAGTCTCGGCCGAGAGCAGAAAAGAATTAGTGACTGGTGATCTAGATCAATGGAGTGCAATCAAGATTTGTTCCATGTCATGCTCATTCCTTTAGAGGTCATTTCCAAAATGTTTCTATGGAGTCTCTTTGCCACTTGGTAAAACTGAGTATGATACAGTTTCATCTCGTTTCTCAGGTTTTCCCTGCTGATCATCTTGAAGGCTACCACTGCCGTTACCATCATCTGATGAGGATAAACCATCCAGATGCTTTTGATCTTTTGAATCCTTTGAAATTCTCACCTTCTCCACCCTATTTATGAGGATCGAGCTCTTAAATCTGATAAATCATACCTGAAAAGGCTTTATCAAACTCTCCTGCGTTTTTGCTCTCTATTGCCACCTGTGCCTGGACTTCGAGCGACTCACGCATTACGCGGGTTAGGAAGTTGACATCATCGGCCATGACGCCAAGACCACGCAGGAGAACAGAACCAAGCTCCACGCTTGTCTGCAAATTCATAACCCATCACGATTCTGAAACCAACCAGCTAAATGGAATGATACCTCGGCAGTTTCCAGAATAGCATCCGTTGCACCAGCCGCTTTCAGCTGAGGCAAGTGTCCCAAGCCCTGAGCTCTTGCATATATAGGAATCTGTGCAGCAATATACACAGTTATGATAGAATCCTGTTCTAAGATAATATAAACGAAAACCTGCGGAAATGCCAGTCTCAACAGCTCAACTCTCTTTTCCTGATAGTGTACATCACCGTCACTGCCTTGGGTTTTTGCACGCCAGCCGCTTGAAGTACCAGAGGCCTAGATCCATATCATAGGGAAGCCCAACTGTCTAAATGCCTGCAGCAAAATGCAAAGGAAATGTATATACATTTCATCATATAGGTAAAACAACCATGGCAATATCCTGAAAAACACAAATTCAGAAGTTCAATATAATCAACTAGAACAATAGACCTGGAAAAGAAGAATTCCTAGCGTTGCAGAACCAAATCGAGTTGGAAGTTCCCCCTTCTCAGCTGAAGACTCAACGAATTACATCAAGTTGAAAACTAGTGAGATGATTACCTGCAAAACGAATACAGAAGAGGACAATGATAATCCTGCTCCAATAACTACACCTTCATTTACAGTCCGAATATTAACCTGCAAGCGAAAGAATAGATTGTCAAGTAGCAAAGCATTATTCAAATATACTTACAAGGTCAGGTCGTGAATGAAAGAAAAATTCCAAGATTTTCCTAAGCTCCATTAGGTGGAAGCTCAAACGCTGTGAAGGCAACAGTTGAAAGAAGTACCTGACATAAACAATGAGTGACAATTGGCATTGTTCTTAAATTCACATACCCGTGCGAATCCCATTCTAAACGCATATTTGGCCAAAGCTTTCAAGCGTGCAAGGGAAGGAAAAGTATACCTAGTTCAGATAAAACTTTAAAATCTGTTACACATATCAATCCTAGTTGATTCAAGTACGCCAGACAAGAGAAATCCCAGAATCTGAAACACATGAACAGAAGCTTGCAAAATCTCATCAGTTAACTTTCAACATTTACAAGACAGAAAGCTTTGACAGCAGGACTGTGGCGATGAGGAAGGTCAGACCATCCAGCCCGAGATCGTTGATTATCTCCATCGTCGAACCTGACTCGTGGAGGCTTTCTCCTTGGTAGCCATGATCAAATTAGACTGTTTTTGTTGTGTATGGAGCCAACTCTTGGTTGTCTCCCATATGTAGGTGTCTGCATCTACGAAAGATAAGAAAACACACACAGACTCAATACTTCTACAAAATACTCTGTTGGTTCTTCTGTGTGATGCCTCAAATACGGGGCTCAGCTCGACGTGCAAAGACATGTTGGACTCGTAAGCTATCATCTACAGGAACCTCGCAAGAAAGCTACTGGAAAGCCTCGATCCGATGAGTTGTGGAGCGACTCCGATACCGTGGCCATATATCCACATTCAGATTTGGCCGTGAAGAATAATGTAAATCCTCCCAGTTCACGGCCTTAGCAACCAGCTCCTGTCAGTTCCTCTCCATCGCTCTTGCTTTGCCCTATTCTGAAACTGTTTTGCGTTGTAATGGGCTGTCCAGTTTGGTCGAGCCCTAAATCGAGTGCTGACGTGGTAAGTGGGTGAGTAAGGGTTCTTGGTATGGGAAGAGTGCTGGATGTGAGCGTGTAGAATGTTTTAATCTCTTTTGATTTATCTGGTTTTTTTGCTTGAATGGAAAGTCGGTCCTTATTAAACACGTTACACCGTGTTTTAAAACTAGGGTTTAGGCTGAGCGAGGTTTAGGACGCGACAGTGTGCGAGATCGACGAAGCGTGCAGTCATCCGTCATGCACGGGTACTCAGCAGCAGCAACAAGAATGTAAGAAGGAAAACAGAGAAATCTCTGTGAATACTTATTTTGAAAAATGTTGCAGGTGCTGCAGTGGGCATATAACAACATCTCAACGGTTGCAAAATTCCTCGAATGCAACTCCTCAAATCGCATCCATATGCACCATTTCTAGCAACAGAAATGTTGGGATCGAGCAATCTTCATGCATATCATACACTGCCACAAGAAAAATATTAAGAAGTGGCGTGGCTTTGAGAAGGAGGTGTCCCGCACAATGGACCGATGGGGATAAGTCGAGCCTCGGTTCATGCATGAGCCTCATTCTCGTAACCAGGCCATTGTCGCTTCATGTGAAGCGGATTCTCAGAGGTAATTGCTTTCTTGTGTCAAATGTAATTGTTTCACTTGTTTTTGTCCTGATTCTAGGCTTTTTATGGGCTTGCTTGATCCAATCAATTATATGATGATCGAGGATACACTGAAGGAAAATTGGAGCGATCATAAAATATTTTTCTGGTCCCTGCGATTGAGCAGTGAGTGGCTAGATACATCTTCATACGTCATGTTTTTCAACTCGGCCTCAGGTGTTCTTTTTGGCTGTCTTTAAAATCGTAACCCAGCTATAACAGGTGCTTACGAGTACGCATTTTCGAAAATCAGTCTCGCCGGGTCAACTCAAAAGGATGCTATTGGGAACAAGAACGTATTCTCCCAAATCTGTGGCTACATGGTAGACAATGATCTTGATATTGGCATATTGACATCACTTGGTTTCTGGGAATGGAGACGTATATCACGTCTCGGATGGGATCCCATATCATGACCACGTTTTGGGGGCACCTGCGAGAACTTCAGCATCTCCAACATTAATGGAGTGTCTGTTCTATGTTTCTACAATAACTTGTAAGCGGGCTGTGTCCGACAGGGTGAGGAGGAGGAGGAGGTCTACTTAAAGAGGTACTGCTTTCTAAGTCCTCTTAGAAAGTTCCAAAGTTCCACAGTTTTAATGTCGTGGCCTCGTGCAGAAACTTACTTCAGCGCGCTACGAGACCCTGTAGAGAAGCTACTACTACTAGTAACGCAGATCTACTGAGGTTGGAGCTAAAAGCTTTTTTTTTGTATGCCATAACAAGCTGAATAATTTCTGCAAGCATCACAGAGAGTCCGAAACAACAAATGAGCCTGATATATAAACAGCAAATATTTCCGGTGATAAATAAATTAATAAATTATAAAGTGACTCCCACCTCTGTTTCTTCCGTGAGTGCACAGAATCATTAGCAGGGTAGGAGGCCTTCCTCTATGACGATCTGAGGGTCGCTGTTTACGAGCAAAGCATACTCTATTACCGATCGTGCCACCGTAAGGTAATTGTTAAAGAGCGGTTCTGTGATCTCGACTTCCTGCTCCAGCAAAGGTTTCAACCATGAGTTGCGTACTTTTTCAGTAGTGGCAAGCAAGCCGCAATAATCAGTCCCAGCCTTCACTTCCAGCCACACAATAAGCAGGTAGACATTCACACCGACTTCTACCTGAGATTCCTCGAGTCAGACACGAAATAGTTTCACAGCAAAATATAAATCCTCACCGTTTCCAGCTGCTCCAAAAAACCTCTTGTACGATTCTTATCGTCTTCCTCACTATCAGTTGGATTAAACTGAAGAGCCCCGGAAGTGAACATCCAGTTGAGGAGACCCTGGAGTTCCTTGAATGCTGCAGGATCTACATCATTTGCTGTGCCTGGCCATTTTAGACGTATAAATTCCCGAAAGAGAGTCAGCAGAAGACAAAACTGCAAAATACACGTACATAAGCCTGCAGTCGAAAACAGCGAGCACAACACGTACCTTTGCAGATGTCTCCATTTGCGGGATGAGCCTTCCGAAGACATCTATGACGCCACTGAAGGAGAGACTCTTTAGAAGCTGCACAAGCAAACATGTCATATATCATTCTCTTAAATACCAACCTCGATGAACAATGTCCGAGCTAAAGACGACAATGCCACTGGAATGATGCGATCTTCTAGACCGAACACGACCACAAGCCTCTGTTTATCACAGTTTTTCCTTAAGAAGAGGGAAAGGGCCAAAAAAGAAAAAACTTACGCCGAAGAGGGCGTAGTCGAACCTTGTACCTTCACATCTCTTTAGCGCTTCGCAAATGAGACGAAGACTCCTGTCCAGGTATTCAACGCACCGGGAAGTGTGCGGCATAAAGAACATGTTGATTGGGCCATTCGCGAGTTCTATAACATCCCTAAGTTTGATTGACTTGTCCAGCTTCTCAACATCCACAGACACTGAAAATTGTATGTATCTGGTTTGCATAAACAGAAACGCATACCTTGGAAGGCCAAACCACTGTGAACAAGCTGACTGCACTCCGCAGGTAGACCTCGAAACATACTTGACCTGCAGGTGACTGAAGCAGAAGTGCTGAGTGCTAATGATTGGATAGAAAGTCCCTTACCAGTTTCCGCCAGCTGCATCCCAGAATTTAGATTTCGAAGATTAGCTAGCCTTTCCGAGGCACCAGGAAGACGGGCAGCAAGGGCCTACATCACACATGTAAGCGAAAAACAGTTAGTGTGTTCACAAACCCACCATCAGAGACAACGCGTAAGCTCTCCATAGTTGCTGTGCACAAGTCAGTAAGTGTTAAGGTCATACCACTAGTAAATCCGAACCTGATTCGAGAAGCGATATGCAAGCTTCTCGCAGAACCCATTTAGCACATCAAAAGTCTCAGATGTTAAGTCATAGTAAACAGCCGAACATGCATGCAGGAGAAAACGAAGGACGGTTGTGGCAATTTCAGCATTTGTAGTGCCTGCATCAAGAACACAAATAAAAAGCTGACATTCATCCAATTGACTTACTGTGTCGGAGCAGCTCATCAAAAGTGATAAAAGACCGGTCAAACACATGAAACGTAAAGTCATCCGCGAGAAGCTGGGTTGACGAGAAAAATATTAATCCAAAAAAGGGAAAAAAAAAATACTCATCAGGACAGACCTTCAATAATCTGAATGCACGGAGCGAAGGATCCCACTGTGGGCAAAAGCTTTGTCAAATTGATAAATAAAAAAAAAGTACCTTAAAGCCGTCATTCCAGGATGTCAGAGCGGCGCTCAAATCCTCCCAGTTCACGGCCTTAGCAACCAGCTCCTGCCAGTTCCTCTCCTGGGTCGGTGTCGCGCTGTACATCATCACTCTTGCCGAAACCCTATTCCGAAATTGTCCTTGGATGTTTTAAAACTAGGGTTTAGGCTGAGCGAGCGTGCGAGGTCGACGAAGCGCGCAGTCGTCCGTCATGATGATCACGGGTACTCAGCAGCTCGGACTCTAAGAATGTAAGAAGGAAAACAGAGAAATCTTTGTGAATATACTTATTTTGAAAAATGGTGCAGGTGCTTGGGCGTGAGGTTTTGCGAGAAGCTTGCATGTTGCTTGTCGAATCAGGTTCGGATTTACTAGTGGTATGACCTTAACACTTACTGGCTTGTGCAGAGCAACTATGGAGAGCTTATGCGTTGTCTCTGATGGTGGGTTTGTGAACACACTAACTGTTTTTCGCTTACATGTGTAATGTAGGCCCTGCTGTCTGTCTTCCCGGTGCCTCGGAAAGGCTAGCTAATCTTCGAAATCTAAATTCTGGGATGCAGCTGGCGGAAACTGGTAAGGGACTTTCTATCCAATCATTAGCACTCAGCACTTCTGCTTCAGTCACCTGCAGGTCAAGCATGTTACGAGGTCTGCCTGCGGAGTGCAGTCAGCTTGTTCACAGTGGTTTGGCCTTCCAAGGTATGCGTTTCTGTTTGTGCAAACCAGATACATACAATTTTCAGTGTCTGTGGATGTTGAGAAGCTGGACAAGTCAATCAAACTTAGGGATGTTATAGAACTCGCGAATGGCCCAATCAACATGTTCTTTATGCCGCACACTTCCCGGTGCGTTGAATACCTGGACAGGAGTCGTCGTCTCATTTGCGAAGCGCTAAAGAGATGTGAAGTACAAGCTTCGACTACGCCCTCTTCGGCGTAAGTTTTTTCTTTTTTGGCCCTTTCCCTCTTTTTTCTTAAGGAAAAACTGTGATAAACAGAGGCTTGTGGTCGTGTTCGGTCTAGAAGATCGCATCATTCCAGTGGCATTGTCGTCTTTAGCTCGGACATTGTTCATCAAGGTTGGTATTTAAGAGAATGATATATGACATGTTTGCTTGTGCAGCTTCTAAAGGTCTCTCCTTCAGTGGCGTCATAGATGCTTTCGGAAGGCTCATCCCGCAAATGGAGACATCTGCAAAGGTACGTGTTGCGCTCGCTGTTTTCGACTGCAGGCTTATGTACGTGTATTTTGCAGCTTTGTCTTCTACTGACTCTCTTTCGGGAATTTATACGTCTAAAATGGCCAGGCACAGCAAATGATGTAGATCCTGCAGCATTCAAGGAACTCCAGGGTCTCCTCAACTGGATGTTCACTTCCGGGGCTATTCAGTTTAATCTAACTGATAGCGAGGAAGACAATAAGAATCGTCCAAGAGGTTTTTTGGAGCAGCTGGAAACGGTGAGGATTTATATTTTGCTGTGAAACTATTTCGTGTCTGACTCGAGGAATCTCAGGTAGAAGTCGGTGTGAATGTCTCCCTGCTTATTGTGTGGCTGGAGAGGAGCAGCGAGGACAAGGTAAGACTTCTCTTAGGCTAGGGCATATAAGCAGCTGTGACAGTGGGTGAATTGGCATCTCGTGGACTTTTACCCTTCACAGGAATGACGTCTTCTTCTTTGTCGAACATTGTTCTTTGTGCTTAGATTTGCACTGCTGGTAATCTGGCATTATAATAGAATGCAAGAAGGGGATAAAGCTGGCATTCTTTTCAGCTTTATCCTAGTTAATCTCTGCAGGCTTGAACTTTCTCGTCGTTTCTGGGTATTGAGCAGTCCAAAAGGTAGGATTGGTGGCTACAGATGAAGTCCATGGTTACGACTCTCAAAAACCAGATATGATGGGCAGGCTGGACACCCTAAGGGAGGATATGCATATCGTGAAGGCGAAGGAAAAGGCTGTTGTTGATCGGGTAATACATTGGCTGAAGTGGAACTCGACACAGCTTTGTGCTTCTGTGTCTGGTTCATGTGGGAGTGGCACATAATTTTGGCAAGTAACACCGCTCTGTTTCCTTAGGTGGCAACATTCGTATGAAATCGGAATCCAAAGGATGTCTGGTTCAAAAACTGTGACAGTTTAGTCACCTCGAGATTTTCCCTGCTTGACTATTCTCCGTTTGGTATCATTGGTGTTCGTGTTCTGAAGGTTATTCGCGTACATAATCGTTTCCTTCAGGACCGCTGGGAAAAGAGCTTTGAGGGGAAGGTACTGAATCAAAGCAGGCTTCTGAGCTTTCTAACTTTCTTCGATCAGGTTGTCAAGTCCAGGAAAAAGCATGTCGAATATCTTCTTTATGGAGAGACGCTACAGTTCGCCAATGAGTTTCAGTGCATTGTTGCAGAAGGATTTCCTTACTTGCCAGGCCAGTCGAATCATGGTTGTCATGGTCCAGTTTTACTTTCAAACGCTATTGGTTTGGCGGACGTTCGTAGGCTGCAGGTATTATAATCAGCATGAGGCACCCATGTGAAAATATAATGGCCAGGTCATTTTTTGGCCGCAGGAACAATAAGAGTATGAGCTCAAAAACGGCAACCAGACCGAAAATATTCATACCGGTAAGCTCCTGAACTGAGCAACCAAGGTATGCTTTGACTACAAGAAGCCATCCCGGGGACCGGACACTCCAAGGACTTCCAGTTCGACTTTTATGGACCCCACCCCTCGGATCCAGCGTAACGATCATGGTTTGTGTTCGATTCTACACTTGTAGTGCCGGAGTATCTGGTAGAGTTTCAGTACACTTGTGGAGGAGAGCTTTCACAGAGGGTTTCAGTTTGAGGATCGAGGCCGAGGCCTGGCAGTGGGAAGGGGCGTCCATACACGGATCCGGTATGCTTTAGGTCTCATTCAGCGAGTTGAGCTTCTTGGGCCTGTTGAGCAGCCCGACTGCCAGGCTCCCTGATTGCTCGCCCAGCACCTGCAGTCATGGAAATTTCAGAATTCCACCACCTTGATTGGGTCACCTCGCTTGCATCGGCCACGCTGGAGAACGGCATTCGCCCCTTGAACATGCTCCTTAGAGCCCTAAAGCCGTGGTGACCAGTCAACCATAGACCAAGTCTGCGGTTTCATTTCTTTTTTCTTTCCTCCTTGCTTGTCATGTTACCCAGCCTCGGGAGGAGCGAGCATGAGCGATCGAACAAGTGTGGCGTGATTGCGATTGAGGTGCAAATAAGCGTAGCATAATAGCACTGTGCAGCATGGTCGAAAGAGGTGGATTTCCCGCTCCACGCCGCCTTGAGCTCTGGAGTTTGGTTGTTTTTCTGTGGGGCACCACACCCAACAACACATGCCAAGGTTGTGATTGGAGAGAAGTCATCTCCCTCCAGCAACCCGATTGGATTGGAGTGCTCCAATATATTCCTGTCAATGATTGCCCAATCTTGGAAAGCAGCATGTCAGAGAGTTTTCAATTCCCGGCCAGGATAGAAAATTTGGTTTGGAGACGGGCGTCACTCAGCCTGGATCCATGGCTTGAATGGACACGCCAACTGGGGGTTGCAAGCCATGACGGACAAGAGCGGCAGCGCCTAAACAAACAAGGCGGATCCTTTGGCGATCTTGGCAGGAGTGTTGTCAAGTTGGCCAACGCATTGAAAAACTTGACCGTGACCAACAAAAGGGAGGTTGACGGAACTCTTGAAACGTGATCCATTGCCACAGGGTTTAACGTGGAAGCCCAGGAGCCTCGGAGATAGATTTTAAGTGGGAGTTTCCAAAACACCACTTTTCCCAGGATGAACGCATACTTTTCCCTGCGCTGTGCCATATAATCTATCCTTTGTGCAAGCAAAGCTACATGATCACTTGACTGCCATGTTATAGTGATCAATCCAGACGCCGTTATCCTGCGATTATAAATACCAGCCAAGGCTTGAGCCGGGTCTTTGTGATCGAGCGAGTATATGCTTGTAGCTAGTCTCGGCCGAGAGCAGAAAAGAATTAGTGACTGGTGATCTAGATCAATGGAGTGCGGTCATGGGATCTGGCTCCAAGTGCTGCCGCTGTTGCAAGTGCTGGCGAGCCGAGAGCGCAATCAAGATTTGTTTCATGTCATGCTCCAGCTCGCTGCCGGCATGGTAAGATCGTCACGGATGCTATTACTGACGATCCTCCTGCTCTGCTTGCTGGCCTTGTCAGCCAAGGTGTGGTGCAACAGGCTCCCTGGCTGCAAGAGATCATGGAGCAGCACCATTCCGGGGCCGGCAGGAATGCCCGTGGTGGGCAACCTGGTGGAATTCGGCCGTGCCGCGGGGCAGCCACACAGATGGCTGGCGGAGCTGGCTGCAGCCTTGAATCCCAGCGCGGGGCTCATGGCCTTGCAGCTGGGGAGCACCAGGCTGGTGGTGGCCAGCAAGCCCGAGGCGGCGCGAGAGATACTGAGCAGTCCCTGCTTTGGCGATCGGCCTATCAAGCAGTCGGCTCAGGAGCTCATGTTTGGGCGGGCCATCGGATTCGCGCCGCAGGGCGAACACTGGAGGCGGCTGCGAAGGATTGCCGCGCACAGCCTCTTCTCGCCCAGGCGAATGGCGGCGCAGGAGCACATACGGCTCCAGGAGAGCGAGGCGATGCTGGGGGCGATCCGCCGGCAGGGGCAGCAGGATCCGCTGCCTCTCCGCTGCATCCTGCAGCAAACGTCCGTGAGGACGATGATGAGGAGCGTGTTTGGGTGGCGGTCGTCCAACAAAGAACAAGAGGAGGAGCTGGTCAGCATGGTTCGCGAAGGCTTTGACCTTCTCGGGGCCGTGAATTGGGCGGATCACATCCCGTTGCTCAAGCACCTGGACGCGCAGGCCATTCAGCGGCGCTCCCGAGTTCTCGCTGCTCGAGTGTCGGCGTTTGTCGGCGGCATCATCAGGCAGCACAGGCTGGCAGCAGCCACGGGCAACGCGGGAATGCGGAGCGACGACTTTGTGGATGTTCTACTCGCTCTTCAAGGGGAAGACGAGCTCCAGGACGACGACATTGTTGCGGTGTTGTGGGTAAGTGAGCGAGCGATCTAAGCCTACAATGCAAACAGTTCTGTTTGTCATCAAGGTGGCCATGCCGTTGACTTCCTTTTTTGCACGCTGTTGATGCAGGAGATGATCTTCAGGGGGACGGACACCACTGCCATCCTGACCGAATGGGTGCTAGCCGAGCTCGTTGTGCATCCAGACATCCAGCGCAAGCTCCACCTTGAATTGGATGCTACTCTTGGCGCCGAGGACGTAAGGGACGACCATGTTCACAGGTTGACTTACTTGCAAGCAGTGGTCAAGGAGACGCTGAGGCTTCACCCCCCAGGCCCCTTGTTGTCGTGGTCTCGCCTCTGTACGCAAGACACCACCATCGCCGGCGGCCATCATGTTCCCAAAGGTACCAACGCCATGGTGAACATGTGGGCCATAACGCATGACTCCACCATCTGGACTCAGCCCCACCGCTTCTTGCCCGAGAGGTTCATGGCCGGAGCCGGCGGAGCCGACATGGATGTCAAAGGGAGCGATCTCCGCCTAGCGCCATTCGGTTCTGGGCGGCGTGTTTGTCCCGGACGAGCACTTGGCCTCGCCACTGTGCACCTGTGGGTTGCCCGGCTGCTGCAGAAGTTCGAGTGGCTGGCTTGCACCGACCATCCCGTGGAGCTACAGGAAGTCCTCAAGCTCTCCGCTGAGATGGCCAAGCCTTTGAGAGCATGCCCGGTCCCCAGGCGTCCAATGTAAGCATGTTTGAAAAAGATGGAGGACTATAGCTACCTAGATTCCTCTTGTACAAACTATGAAGCTGCCAATAAAGGTAGATAGATGAGTCACACAAGTTATGCATGTTTCGGAAGTCGGTGTCGTCTAGAGCTGAACCGGAATCTTAGGCGACTCTGGTTTCCAAAAGTGGATGCCTTGATTCTCAAGTACCAGCTGTGAGCAAGCTCCTGCAGCTATACAGCAGACTAGCTAGAGATACCTGTCGTCTCTCAGAGGCATAGTGGAAAGATACAGATTGCCATGCCACGTCTTGTATCGAGTAACAGTGCAACGAAAGCGAACACTCAACTTTGCAGCTCGTAGAATAGCTCTGTTGTAGCTCTGAGACAGCAGTTGGGAACCTCTGCCTCTCCCGCTGCTTCCAACCTGCACATGTTCTTCGTGGTAAATCCTATGCCTACTCAATCCGTCATATGAGATACACTCGCTTTGCTCTAGCTGTTCTTGTCTTAAGAATATATGCGTCACCAGCATCCAGACAAGTAACAGTCGTTTACTGCTTCACCTTGGAGCTCGTAAGACTTGCTGTGTCTGCGCTAACAAGGGCATTAATCCAGCAGCTCCTGTACAAGAACAATGACTTGCACCTAACCTCAGCATTGTCGGATTTTTCCACGGAAGAGATTGGACCGCTTCAAAAGCAGAGCAGTGCACCTGACCTTGAATCCTAGGAATTCTAGGTAGGGGCGAGACGACTCTCCCTGTATGGCTAGATAGAGCTATCAACAGAGACACGAATCTGACTACGCAACCATCACAAGAATCACTCAGTCTGTCTGGTAAAATTTTCAACAAGTCCGTGATGCGCTCGCTCTTTTACAGCTCCGCACGTAGGCCCTCTTAGATAGTACACAACGCCATGCCAGGTCTATGCCACCCTGCCCCACAAGCACGAAACCGTTGGCCACGCTCACAAAAGCTTTTCGTCACGCTGATTTTTACCTGGACTGCAAATATCTCTCCAAGTACGCTTCAATTCCAGAAACCTCCTCTGCTTGCAGCTGTTTGGCAGCTTCCATGTTTCCCAGCAGGTCTTGCAGATCACCCATCAACTTGCGCACAATGTCGAAGTTTGACGAACCTTTCTCCAGAAACTGCAGGTCCTCGAACTTCCGCTTCCGTTTCTCCTCTGCTTCGAGCAGTTGTAGCTTGGATTTCTTGGCCACGTACTCTTGTTCCACCTTGACGCATTTAGCCAGAACAATACGCTGCAATCCTTCGGCCTCGCGGGAAGCTTCATCCGCACGCGCTTGAAACATTTTCGCCTCTGCTTGTTTGATACGGACAATGCTCTCCAGCTCTTCTATCTCGGCTTTCTTCCTGGCTCTTTCGTATTGCATTTCAGCAGCATCTGTACGCTTCTCCTCCAACACGCGGTCATATGTCTGAAGTGCCAAAGTCGCTCTCTCCAATACTGTGTTTGGATCAATACGAGCAGCACCTGCTGTCGCGTGCTCGTCATCTTCCAGGAGGGAGACGTTTTTACTATCTGGAAAATCAGCTCTAAGAAATAGAAAGTAAAATAGACAAAATACGTACCTTCAAAGAATCTAAGCATGGCATTGCAGGCCTCCGCTACGTCCAGGTTGTTGCTCTCAAGTTTGGCTATCATCTGGCCGGCTCTTCGGCACAGTTGTCTCCCCCTCAAATCTTCGCTGCCCTGAAACATTCGCCTTGCACAATCCAGCTCCTTGACGAGTACTCCTCGGTTCCACGACTTGGCACAAGAGGCAAAAACCTCTTTCACAAATCCAAAAAGTTCGGACGTGTGGCCGCATGCGATGCAGTGGAACTGCATCTCTGAAGTCCCTGGTGTCGTCCCCGGCTTAATGTACATCTTTCTCAGCCCGCAGTCGGTATGGCACCAGTGAATACAGTAGTCACAGCCCACCCAGCTGCAAGTGCTGTGCGCCGTGTCGAACTTCGAGCACACGACGCACATGCACGCGTTGCAAAACCCGTTCTTCTGGGTGCATATCTTGCACTCACAGTTGTCGACAGGAAGCTGGCTGAGGCACTGGACATTACGGCATCGAGAGTGGAGCAAGACCTCGACGAGAAGTTTTAGCTGGTTGTCTTGCAGGAGGAACGCTGGGTTTCCCGTCTTAACAGCAACCAAGATCTCAACCTGAGTACGGTGTGACTTGTGAAGAGCGTCCGACGACAAGTCATTCCTGGTTTGTAGAATTCTTTGCAGCTGTAAAAACTCTTCTCTCCGGTCACTGCTTTCCACCAGGTCCTTCGCCGACGCCTTTAGCCCGTCCAGCACATCTCGGGGTAAGTTTCGCATCTTTTCCGCTACCACTAGAACCGGATCAGCAACCACCTCACGAACAGAGACTCGCAAAGTTGCCGACGCCCTGTCCCGCTCAAACGACCGTTCCCAGGATCCCACACTCTGGGAAAGGCCGCTGGACTTCACCTGTTTCCTGTGCATGCTGCCTTTGGGACGAGAATGGTGAGGAAAATGGTTACTTTCCGACACCGCTTTTCCCTTGAAGGGGTGGTGACGAGCGTAGTCCCCAAACTCCATCTTTCTGCTGCCTAGACCAGCTGAATACGAGGAGGCTTCCGGACGCACGGGTTGGCTTGCACTGGAGAACTCCTGATAGTCGTGTGAATTGTGCGTGAGCGAGCAGCTGGGGTTGTGAGTAAACGGGTGAGAACAGGAGAGCGATAGCGAAGTGGTAACGCCATGAGAAAAGGTTTCTGCTTGGGACATAGACTGGAAGCTCTTGTTCCTGTTGAGTGCACGATGCGAGTTGGACAATCCCAGCGACAACGACGTGTCAGGTTCCGCCTGTGGCAGCTTTGAGTCCTCGGGAACAACTGGCACATTGTCTTCAGGCACCACCCTCCCTTGGCGTTCGTCGGGCACTCCCTCCTCTTGAGGAGCATCAGCCCCGGCGTCGTGATTTCCCAAGCTCTCCGCCATAGCTTGCACCGCCTCTTGATTGACAACATCTTCGGTGGAAGTGTTGTCTTGGGAAGCAAGCGCTACCTTGTCTTGTAACTTGCCTTCCTCTCGCTCGTCAGCCTCCTGCTTCCCAGCTTGTGTCTCACGGCCTTCCCCTTCAGTCTTGTCCGCGTCTACCGGATTAGCCACGGGCAGATGATCCTGTTGGTCGTCGTTCATGGCCACCTTATCTAGCTGGGGAGGCTTTGCGTCAACCTCCTCGTCTCTCCTCTGGCATCGACTAGCTCTGCTTGTTCGCAACCTTTTCAAATGCTTGGACGTGTCGCTTCTTGGCGTGTCAGCAGCAGAAACTTGTGCATTGTCCTTTTCAGCCCCTGGAGCAAACCTCTTGACTCGCTTCTTCTCTCTGTCTGTTCGATGACCCTTGGGAATCTTGGTGTCAAACTCGTACCTCACCTCCTTGTCCCCCGAGCAAGGGGATGGCGAATGCCGCTCGCCGCTACATCTCTTGTCCCCGTTTTTTTGGGCAACTCTGGCGGAATCCTTGGATTTGGAGGGATTGCCCAGGCTGCTCGACATGTTGCTATGTGAACACGCACAACAAGGTACCTGCAATTCACGGATCCAACAGCGCCACAGGGATGGAATCAGCGCCTCCTAGCCATTCTCTGGATGCGCCTCGTCTGCTCCACAACCCTAGTCAGTCTCTCTCTCACCTCCGCACACAAGCACGACACCTAGTCAAAGCGCGAGTGCTCCGACACTTTTGCCACCACGGTTCGATTCCCCTCGCTCTCCTCCGAGTCAACGCACGGTAAGTAAATGGAGAAATTTGTGCTAGGTAAGTAGCAGCTAAGTTAGATTTGCCAGCTGAAAAGCAAAACAACCACAGTAACTTCTAGCTAGGAGGGCCAGCAAAACATTCTTGAACAATCTGGGAGCTGGAGTGCAACTCTTTGATCCTCTCCCTGACGCGTGGCGGTCGATCCGGTACCCATGAGTTCTCTTCTTATTGGCGGAGAAAGCCGTATATAAATGCTTCCCACCTTCCCTTGGGAACCATCTCCGGCTGGCCGGCAACTCTCTTTGCTTTTCTCTTTATCCTTTCCTTGTCAATTGGGTCACCGGGAGGGAGAGAGAGAGAGAAAGAGAGGAGAAATCCTTTACTTGTCAATATAGTCACTGGGAGGAGAGAGAGAGAGCGAGACAAGAGTGAGAGAGGATGGCTTCTTACGCCAAGCACAGAGGCCTTGCGGCGCCGCTCCTGGGGGTGAACTTGGTCCTCTACATCATCCTGCTGGGGCTGGCGAGCTGGGCATTGGACGAGCAGCTGGATGGGCATTTGGCGGGAGGTAAGAAACGTGCAATCGCTTGAAAACCAGGTTTTGAAAGAATGCAAAACGTGGGCATGCGCAGGGAACGGAGCCACTTCCGACCTCATTCGCTTCTCTTTGATCGCTGGAGTGGTGGGCATCGCGTCCGTCCTGGTGGGTCTCTTCCATCTCAAGCACCGGCGGAGCGAGAGCCACGGCGGCGCAGGATCGGCGGCGGTTATTGCCCTCCTTCTCACGCTACTCGCCTTCGGGTAAGAAAGATGGAACTGCCATTTGATTTTTGAGCCGAGCCGAGCGGGATTTCTGTTTTGCAGCGTCGCTTGCAAGCAGATTCATGTGGGCTACATCTACTCGGACAGACTGGTAAGAGCAATGCAGCGGGGACCCGTTATCATCCGTTTTGCTTTTGTCTTTGTGAGCAGAAAGCGCTCGAGGCGTTTGCGATTGTGGTGGCAGCCACGCAGCTGCTCTACGTGCTGCTCATGTATTTTGCGGACGAGTGAGCTCGCGAGCCATGGATTCCAACGACAAACTCTCCGGGGTCACCCGGATGGCTTTGTAATTGTTTGTATTATAGATATAATTACAATCTCCTGGTGTGGTGTTTCTGATTTGTGGATTGCTCACAAGGAAGACGTTACTGGCACTCGGAATATTCCTGCCTTTTCAAATTTTTAAAGTCCCCCCTCTCTCTCTTTCTGTGTGTGTGTGTGTGTGTCTGTCTGTCTGCGGGTTCCGTTGTATCTCTGTGTTTGTGCGCGCTGTGCTCTCCTTGGTGAATGGTATGGCTGCCTCCAAATGAGCATCTCTGCCCCCACCCCCGCGGGGCTTTTGGGACGGGCTC